CGAGCCCCAGGCTCCAGGCCCAAACCACCAACGCACCGATGTCTGAGGGTGTCTGCCAGTGGTAGGGTAAGTGGTGGGGGAGATAAGCCTCCATACCTCGGAGGACCAAAGACATCTTCAGGTCTGTGACTGGCATCTCTGGTAGTTTCTTCCTGTTACCTTCTCAATAGATCACTGGATGAAGACTTTGTCTACAGCCTGGAAAATGTACACTCTCAAAAATAAATTCGAAGCTTGCAATTGCTCAACAATTTTATTGATGTAAATATCAAGAGAAATGTTAGATTAGATTGCATCTATTTACCAGCTTCAACCAGTACTAATCAGTTAAAATACAGGGCCTGGACTTCAGTGTGGGAGTCCACTGGCAACCACTGGCCAGTATATAGTATATAGTATATATATAGTATATATATAGTATATATATAGTTTAAAAAAAAAGAAAAGAAAAAAATCCACGCACTTAAATGTATAGCCTGCTCGAACCTCTATAGAGAGCTAAATATGATTTTAGTTTTATTATCTGCCATAGTCGGAATTAGTGTGTAGTTTTTGGTTCATTTTGCACTTTTGAGCTTACAGATATCTTGTGATTTCTTTCTCTTTGGTTGGGCCAACATGTTTTATATATCAAAAACAAGAGGGCGGCCAAAAATCTGACAACAAATCAGGCAAGACAAACCTATGGGGAGTAAGTATACAAAATGACCGTGGTCTCTGTTAAGTGATTTAACAGAGACCACGCAGGTCGTCACAAAATGCATAAGCCACAAGCCCTGGCAAGTGTTTCACCTCTAGAACCTTACATCTCCAGCATACATAGAACCACTTATGCAACAATTAAATATTCTTTAAGATAAAATGCAGCTCTCTCCTACGGATAAGACTGCAAGAAGGCTTTCTCGTCCTAAATATGTGAACAATAATTACATACACCAAGTCAATTTCATTTTTATACTACATTTAAAAGTGCAGTTGGCAGTTTTACATTAACTGTATCCAAAGAAAAAGTAAAACACAGACAAGCATAAAAAAATGAAAACCAAGCAAAAAGCACAACAATGATAAACAGCATGAAAATTGTGGGATAAAATTATAAAAGGAAAAAATGAAAAACTAAAAAACAAACACGGATAAAATCTAACAATAGAAAATAAATAAAGCAGTTACAATACAGTGTTATACATATTTTGATATGAAGTTATCTTTATTGCTACCAATTGTTTCAACTACACTACCAATTATGAGACAAATGTCTGCATATCCTGGGAAATTACTGACATAAACAACTGTCTGATGATGCTGTTATAAAACCCACTGACAACAGTCAAGCAACAAAGATCAGACATGGGTACAATGTAGCAAAGACAAAAAAACATAACTGTAAAAGTAACATTCACAGCAAATTTACGCACTAATTAGTTACCTGCAGACGCATGCTCCTGAAAAAAGAAATGAAAAAAGCACACACACCGCTAGCTCTAATTAATAATGCCACCCTTAGCACACTGCACTTTTTATTCCCTTTACAAACTAATTGTCATGAGTTATGTATTTTTCATACAACTTAAGAATCCAGGAGCTGCATTTTGAATCATTTACAGTGGAGAAAGATGATATACTATACCTCCCAAATCTAGGCAAAAACAACGACCACAGAGGAATCTTTGGATCAACAAAAAAAATATAATAAGAGACTCAAAGACCTCTTTTGAGATCAGAGATTGCAGTATGAATCAAAGAACTGTCTTCACTGTTACATTTGGTCACGCTGGACCTCTGCTGCCATCAACAGGTGAAATCTGGGCTCAATGACATGATTTAATTCCACTTTCTTTTCTTTCAGATACTTGTGGCTCAGGGGGTTGGGAAGCGTATCTGTAACCGGAAGGTCGCCGGTTCGATCCCTGGGCTCTCTATCCTGGTCGTTGTGTCCTTGGGCAAGACACTTTACCCTACTGCCTACTGGTGTTGGCCAGAGGGGCCGATGGCACGATATGGCAGCCTCGCTTCTGTCAGTCTGCCCCAGGGTAGCTGTGGCTACAACCGTAGCTTGCCTCCACCAGTGTGTGAATGAATAGTGGCATTGTAAAGTGCCTTGGGTGCCTTGAAAAGCGCTATATAAATCCAATCCATTATTATCATTATTTAAAAGTTACAGTTTGAGGAATAGCCTCTGACCAATTTGGTTTTCACCTTAACAGTTATTTTTAAGGTGTCACTTACTGCTCACATTTAGTTTATTAATTTGCTCAGTAACCAGTTCAGGGGAAAGACATGGATTTGAGAGAGATGGTTCTCCCTGTTGAAACTGAGGGGTAGCAGGAGGGTATGCAGGTACTGAAGGTGATGTGAATCCTGGAACTGAAAACCCGTATGGAGCAGCACCTTGTGGCCACTGATTAAAATTGCCACTTGTTATGTTTGCATGCTGAGTGGGATCTAGTGAGGGACAAGCACCTGATCCAGCGGGGAAGGCAAGGGAAGGATTGTTGCTGTAACTTGGAGCCCAGGCTCTCCCAGGTGGGTAAGGGCCCACAGGCTCCCCAGGCTGAATGGCTGCAAATCTGTAAGGAATGATGACCAGTGGAAACACCACCTCTGGGTCAAAGGCAAAACTAATGTCCAGATATACCTGGAAAAAGTCAGAGATTTAGAATCAAATCAGACTAAAGTAACAATCAAATTAAAAGTGCAATTTATAAAACTACCAATTTTACTTTTTTAATTTGACATTGAATTATTATTTGTTATGCTTTTTTATGCAGCGTCTTATATTCATAGTAGTTATTAATTATTTAAGAGGTTAAGACACACATTTACCTACAAACATTTACAACCAAAGTTCACCATGAAATCCCTATGACATAGTTTTATACCTTTAACTGATATTCAACTGAGATGATATCACAGTTACGGAGGGTGGCGATGGCATCAATAGGAATCTTCAACTGGCAGGAGGCAGTTTGCTCTGAGTTTGGACGGATAGTGTCCCTGACCTCTTTGAACAGAGTCTCATCACAGGTTTTAGTCTTGCCATCGCATCTGTACACTATTTTCTGCTGAAGTTTTAATTTGGGTTTTATGTTCTTGGAGGAAGAGTTACAGATTTTGGCAACAACAGCTAATGTTTCACCTGTCAATAGCAAATATTAACAATAAGCTTAATTTTTAAATCTATTCACATTTTATTTTGTAAGTTGCAGATATTTTACCTGGAAAACAAATTCCTCTGCTAATGGTAGCAGACATTTGAACCTGTCCCTTAGAGAAAACACCGACATCTTTACTCACTGAACTAGATTGTGGACACTGTAAAGAACCAGACAGACATTTTTTTTTTTTCAGATCAACTCAATTGTAATCCAGATGTCAAATTTATAACACATCATTGTAGTGTTTACCATTACTTGAGGAGTGTTTAGAAATGCCTTAGAAACAAACTTGATCTCTTTTTGTACTGCAGAAGGCAAATGCCAGCTCCTAGATATCTTTGCTTCAACCACATAGACAATTTTTCCATGTTTCCCCTGGAAGGACGAAGGCATGTTCCTAAAAAATACAGAATCTAGTTATTTGTAAAAGCAAACTACAGCACGGTATTAATGCATGAAGCCAGAAATTCCCACATACCCTTCTGGGATTTTAAGCCTGAATTTAAAAGTGTGGGCCCCTTGGGGAAGTGAGGTGCCTGCAAGAGAAATATGATTAAATTTTCCTGCAGAGACTTTTATAATGGCAGCACCTTCAAAAATAGTAAAAGAGAGTAAATGTGTTCTCAATGCTGCCACCATGATATTTAGGATCATATATAGAAATTGTGACTTTTGTGACTAAGACAAATTAACGTATTTACTCATTTGTAAATATGTGATAAGGGGAGTAGAAATGTCTTTAGATGATCTCCTAACAGTCCGCTAATTTATATACAAAGATGCAGTCTGTTCATTTCAATAATTACCTGCCAAACAACACAAATTAACAGCTAAGAAATTAGCACAACTGTTAATGACGTTTGCTGGAGCAAGTCAGTTTAAGTGAATGTTTTACACATGCTTGGATTCAGCTTTGACAAACAAATATGATCGACTGTTTCTAGTAGAATTCCAAAGTTGTCAGCTTGTACCCTCTCAGAGCTCTGTATGCTTGCAGACACCCTTACAGTAGGAAAACATGCAAAACGGTGTCCAAACCTTTGTATTTTAGCTTTATTTATGTCTTACACAGCATCCCAAGTCTTTAGCACGTGTGGCGACCCACTAGAGGGCTCCACTCACACCCAAGCTTGGAGGAAGGGTTATGTTGTGTTTGGGTGCAATATGCTTAGTTCATGTTTGGAGGTGAATAAAGTTGGAGTGTATAACTAGTGCTCCTGTGTCGTGTGTCCCATGCCTCCATAAAAAAAAAATAGGCACCTACAACAATAAATAATCCAAACCAAATGGCAAAAATCGCTTACGAACAATATACCCACTGGCACCGGAGTGAGTTAACTGCCAAACACACGGCAGAAGACAGCAAACTGCCAAGTGACACTTGTTACAACTGGAAGAGCCGTTTTGGCAGCCATCCAAAGCTTCAGCAGTAGTTAACCCTTAGCAGCTGCAGCCTCCAACGCACCATCACCACGGCACCTGGTGGGTTTATTGTGTAGCATGGTGGATGGGTTAATGGCAGTGTTAGCTTAACTAGCATTGCTAAGTTACTTAGCTAGCCACAAACATGCTTATGCAAACAGCATTTGTTGTTGTTGTTGTTGTTTTTTTATCTTTCCGGTAAACAGCAGACAGATATCGAACATCCTACAACCTTATTTATTTATTTGATAGCTAACAGTCCATCCACGCTTGAAAAGGATGTGCGTACCTATAGTGTCAATAGTTTACTTGAACTTTTTTTAACATAGTTAAATGTTAAGTGATGAGGGATTCCCACAGACGGCTCGTGCTGGTTTTCCACAAGAATTAAAACCACTTTGTTGCACTTTGTCATTCAGATACTGAATAAAAGGGGCTGTTGCTATAAAATTGACCCGACCCTGTTCCTTCATTTAAAGAGCCATAACACAGAGGTCACACTAGATAGAGATATTATAGAGATATTCATGAAAACTTGATGTTTTTAAGTTGTTTTTTGTTTCTTTTCTCTTGTTATTTCATTTATATTTATGTCATTTATATGAATAAATAAATACATTTTCTATCTATCTATCTATATCTATCTATCTATCTATCTGTCATGGATTTTTTTACCTTTCTCGAAGCGTGGCCGTTGTGAGAACCGTGAGGAATTGCCACAGGGACATTTTAGACATGTTTCGGCCATCACAGATGTTCCAAGAATTGTTCGTCCTGAGAGGGAGGGGGTTGGTGGAGCACAGTTCATGATTGAAAGAGGAGTGAAACAAGCCATGTATGTCCACTGTGAACGACCATCTTTGAACAGAGGCGGTGGTTTACGACACAAAACTGTCTGCCATCTATAATCCAGTTTTGAGATCTTTTTCCGGACGCCTTAACGCCCACACACATCCTGGCCCGTTTGATCTCATAAAATCACATGATAGGGTGGGGCTAGGCTTCACAGCGGGTTCACCCGTAACCCTTGGCTGATTGTGACCTACACCCGTTTTCACACCTTGGCTCATGTGATCAGGTAGAGGAGCAACAGGGGGCTTTTTGACCCCCTTGGGGGGACACTCCTCTAGGACTTAAATCTGGGAATCTCCACCATTTGACTGAACTGAACTGAAGAAGTCTCTCAGATGAGAGGTGAAACATCTTCAAGCAACTTAGAGAACCTTCACAGACATATTCTCTCAAAAAACTTGTCCTCTTAACGTAGCTTTCTAACGTGCCTGATACTCTTATACTCATACAAAAGGGCATATTACAAATATATAGCACACATGAACAAAAGAAAAGCCAGTAAAACTCCCTCTCTCTTTCTTTCTCTCTCTCGCTCTCTCTCTCTGTTCCCCAACAGTCCTCACTGGAACCTTCAGTACTTGACAAAGCAACAAAATGTCTTTCCATGGCTTTCACACCTCTTGTTCTGCATGTGTTCAATACTTTAAAAAACAGTCTCATTTCCGATTATTCCACATAATCTAATTTGTGAACCTCTATGTTTCATTTGTTTATTTTTGTGGACTGGAGATCTGGTCAGAACTTAATGTTAGCATTAAATTAGCACCTTTAGAAATAAATGTACTTAAAATTGGTGACATGTTTTATACTTATTTTACCCGCTGTGAACCTTTAGAACCTTGTAAGCAGAGAGAATAGACCTTATCATTTTGTTTGCTCTGCTCAGACAGTGTTCCTGTGCAGTGTGCTGGATGTGGAGAAGTGCGGAAAACCCATTGATTTCCCCCAGTGTCCTCAGTACTGTTTGCAGCCCTGCAGGCTTCTGACTACACAGATATATATGCAGTCAGTAAGATGTCTTGGGTGTAAAGTGTCTCCAACCTGAAAATCCTACCCTGAAAATCTGGGTGTGACCTACCAGCTGCAATGGGACTCTGCATAACTGTGACTGAACAATCTAAGTAAAGAAGTAAAGAGGGAGTTATCAACAAGGGTGCACATAAGTGGTCCGCAGGTGCGCATGCGCTGTCAAAATAAAAAACGCGCACCAGATAAGAAGTTGTCCGCTAGAGTGGGATTTTCACGGCATATTCTGCACCACATCTCTGTGCGTTCATCATTTGTCTGAAGCCAGCTCACCTCCTGTAACCACTTTTCCGAGAATACGCGCTTCTTTTGCGGTTCTGACTACGTCTGACATTTCTTTGGAGGTGGAGGAACACCAAAGTAATTGCTTAAAGGAGCTTGCTTCTTTGACATCTTTAAGAGTTCTAAACAAATGTCTGTCCTCCTCCAGAAAATCTTATGTACGCAAACGCACGTTGCAACTTCTTATCTGGTGCGTGGTTTTTATTTTGACAGCACATGCTCACCTGCAGACCACTTATGTGCACCCCTGGTTATCAACTTGAGTCAAAGACTGAATGTTAAAAGACTCTTTATCTGAGTCTGTGATGTGCAAAGAGCTTAACCAGACTCCAGAAGGCTGCAACTGCAGTAGCCTTGTTTTGGTTTTATAAGCTTTGTGAGATTTTGCAAGAAGTATTTCTGAGGTTTCTTACCTCACATAATTCTATGAGGTTGTCAGCAAGTATATCTTTCAGCAAGAGAGTGGAGAGAAGGATGCAGCAGCACCAGAAAGTTGTGAAGGAGGTGCAGCTGAGAGGAATCACTGTGACATCATGGTTAGAGAATGAGCTTTCCTAAGAGCTATTCAGTCTTGTTTTATGTAAAATTGGAGGCCTGCTCACCTTATTAAAGTGGTGTCATTGTGCCATATTGACAAAGGACACCTATACAATAATGTTCCTCATGACTTCATTAATAATGAGCTACATTGTGCACTGTGCATTATGCATTTCTTTTTGCAAGATTGTTGAGTACATGAAGTGGTGTATAATGCCTCAGTTATTATTCACAAAATTGATCCTCCCAATTTCCTGAATAATTTTTTAGACATCATTAAAGACGTTCCCTTTGTTTTCCAGTTTGCAAATGCTTGCAAATACCTGATTTTGAAGCTTGTGGAGAGATTGTGATGCTGTTATGTAATAAGTTCAAAAGAAAAGTTTCTAGAAACAATAACCTAACCTTAAGATCTTATTAATACTTTATTCAAACTTAAAATCTAGATTAGTGTTAAAAGATGCAAAGCATAACTTGTGTGGAAGGTGTTTGGACAGGTTTGTGTCTGTATGTGGGTGTGTGTATTAGGAAAAAACAAACATATTTGGTTAGAGGAGGAGGGTATCAAAATTTGAGGGTGTTTTTGCACACAGCATTTGCTTTCTTTAATGGACTGCCTTGAGATACTAAATTGGCCTGAGCTAGCTGGATGACTCCAGTCACATCTCTGTTATGGTGCAGTAAAGGGAACACCTGTCAGCCAGTCAATGCTTCCTCTTCTGAAAGGTGTGCATATACTAGATATCTGTAGGCAGTATACTGAACTAAACATGGTGAATTAGCACTTTATCTTTCCTACATTTCTGACCAGATGTAACTTTTAAAAGTATTAAAAACTCTTTTAATTGGTTTATTCCCATTTTTAATTTCCTTTCATTCATCATATACAAAGCTCTTCAAATTACCATTGCATATGAATTGAAGTAAGGCTTGTTTATAGAATAAACAAGCCTGACTTCCCATTGCTTTCTTAGCAAGTGATTACATGTTAATCTGTTTTGCACAGGCAATGCAGGTTCATCACAAACAGAATTGCAGTTTGAATCCACTTGTAGTCAACACACTTTTGGCTGATGCAGAGCTTAACCAAATCACTGTGGCCTAAAAAAAAAAAGAAACAGTTTTAAGAATGGAACTTATCACTGTGCTTGCAAATGTTTCAACTAAACTGTTCAAAGAGTAACAACCTATCACGAGACAAATGTCTGCTCTTTCTGGGAAATTACTGGCATAAACAAGTGTCTCATGACACTATTATGAAACGCACTGACAACAGAAAAGAAGCAAAGGTCAACACGGTTACAATGTAAGAAAAACAATTTTTTAAAAAAGGAGAGAAGTGAAATTCACAGAAAAGAACTCAATTAATAAATCAATACCAGCCTTACAACAGCAGCCCCCACCCCTCCATATTGTGGAACAGGTAGTAGACACTTAATATCCATAATATCCACACCAATAAAATAAAATAAAATAAAATAAAATAAAATAAAATGATTAGCAAGAAGAACCTACCTAAAGTCCATAGTGCTCCTCTTGGGAAAGCAAATGTGTTTTGCACAACAAAGCATTCAGACCATACTTGTGCAAGACAGGTGTTATAAAAATAACCACAATAAAATAAATAAATAATATAAAATGCCTTGAGACAATTGTTGGTATTATTTAATGATATGTAAACATGAGAAAATACATCCAAGTCAAGGGGACGAACCAGTGTTGTGTTTACAAATGACACAGAAAATAAGCAGAATGGCACACCAAAAGCACAAGCCACAACTCACACTGAATTTTTAACAATTAAATATTATTAAAGATTAAAAAAAAAATAGAATACTCTTAGTATACTACTAAGTATAAAATTGTGAAAAGGCCTCCTCATTTTATCTGAAATGAATGAGCATAATACTAACTAACATAACTAACAAACGTCAAGTCAATTTTATTTTTATAGTGCATTTAAATCAACAGTGATTGAGCCAAAGTGCTTTCCAGGCAATCGCATGTAAATTGAAATTTCAATAAATAAGACTCACATGGACAAACATAATAAAAATGAAAACCTAGCAAAAATTACAACGATGATAACCAGTTTAAAACTTATTATGGGATAAAATTATAAAGAAATTCAGAAAATAATGGAAAAAAAAAACTTACAGATACATACACAGATAAAATCTAACAAAGGAAACGTCACGATAAATCGAAACTTGGATTTTGGAGTGTATGATTTTGTTAAATTGTTAGAAAGTGTGGCCACCAGAAGGAAGCCACTGAACTGCAACAGACCCTTTATTGGCCTCTAGTCTTTGTGTGAAAATAAAAAAAGGAAATGAAGTAATATAAGTAGAATAAAAAATATGTTCTCATATGTATTATAAATACAATGTATGCGCATCTGGAGATGAACTTATCTCTGTGCTCGTAAATGTTTCAACTAAACCTTTAAAGAGTAACAACCTATCAAGAGACACATGACTACACTTTCTTGGAAATGCCTGGCATAAACAAGTGTCTGATGACTCTACTATAAAACCCAGTGACCGCAGACAAGAAGCAGGTTTTTTTTTTTTAATACAGTGGCAACATCACAACAACAGTTGCCTCAAGGCACTTTCTATTGTAAGATAAAGACCCCACAAAAGAAAATAGAAAACTCAAATTATCATGGTTGTAGCAAAGACAACATGGAGGTAAAATTCACAACAAATCATTGGCTTACTCACTGTTCACCTGCAGGCACATACTCCTGAACAAAAACAAATAATTAAGTGAATGCCAGCCTTAAAGCAGCACCTTTTCCATTCCACTTGCAAACTAGTTATCATCATCAGCTATGTGCCGTCTTTTCTTTGTTTCATTAGTACAGTATGAAAAATTCAATTTTTTATGCAACTATGAGTTCTCTCATGTGACAACAGCTGTAAGGCCTCATGCTGTCCTGCTAATTGACCAACAAGAAACTCAGCACCCACCAAAGGCACACACATGTGGTAACCAATTTTCTTGTCTCTTATCTCGGCTTTCAGAATTTTACACTGATGTCTGTTTTCCAAACCCAACTGAAGATTCATTAGCCCATACTCCCAAGAGCTATTTTTGAGGTGTGAC